TATATATATATATATATATATATATATATATATATCATATATCACATATATAGTTGCAACTATATGCTACGTGTTCAGATTGAATCTCTCATTAAGTTCATAAAAGATTTAGGACATTATTACTACTAGTGAAGGAATTTCATGCCAGCAACAAGCAATGGGCTACGTTATGACAGAAACGGGTTTTAATCGACATTAATTTCTAAAGTCGGCCTTCCTTGAGGCATCGGGAAACCTTCTTCAGTTTCAAGGGTTTACAATTAATCAAAACAATGAAACTCGGTATGAAAGCGAAAGTGTTTGCCCCGGAAACTTTAGCACACATACACAATTAAAAATATATAAGAGGTCATCTGGACACATTCTCCATGCTCTGACTGCAAACTAGTTTCGCAGTAGTGTTCGCTGGCGTAACCGCCATCTTTCCCTCTTGCTCCTCCCTATTTCTAGCAATAAACGAAATGGAGATTAACTTATTTTTAATGTGAACGTTGTCCCCACTTCTAATGAAAACAACTCAAGCTATTTATTTCTTTCATGAGACCATTCCAAATATATAGTAAATCATCAGTACAGATTTATTAACACATTCCATCTCATATACCAGGAATTCGTTTACATTATTGTACATTTGAAAGCTATAAGTTTCGAAAGATGATGGACAAAAAGTAGTTTTTCTTACGAGCGACAGCTAATTTAATTAAAACTCAAATCTTTTATCAAAACTGAAAAAGATCATAAGTTTCGCGACCTCAATTATAGATCACTTACGTATAGCTTTTAACTCCCTGTGTTTACATTTCTCAGCTAGCAAAATATTTGAATATTTTCTAGAAATCTGCTCAATCCCAGAAAACATGCCAAAATTTTCATTTATTTTTCATTACAAAGACACGGAGAAAATAACAGTGAAACTAATCGCATTATATTTCAATATCCGTTAGCTTAACTCTCATCATACTCCACATTCGTGCAATAATTTTGATGGATCCATCATTTTTCAGTGTCAGTATTGTGAGCGATCATTTTCAATCAGTTCAAATCTTCAGCGACATGTTCGTAACATACATAATAAGGAAAAACCGTTCAGGTGACTAACAAATAGCATACCGACTAGCGTTATCAGTAATGAAGGAACAAGTACTACGACATTTACGCCATAAATGATAATTAATGAGTCATAAATACATTCATTACCATTTATACGAAATGACCTTTCACTGTACTTATGCTCAAGTGAACATTTTTAGCTCATCCCTCCTACAACTAACCTTTTGTATATTTTAACTTGCATATAGTTGCCTCACATCTTTATCAAACCTTTTTTCTTTAACAGTAAAAGATACTCTCAATATCAATCCAGTACTGATTGTTTTTTGCAGATGCGATCATTGTGACCGCTGCTTTGGACAGCAAACCAACTTGGACCGTCACATTAAAAAACACGAATCAGGTGGCACTTCCGGAATCTCTAACGCAAATGCACCACTTCGAGAACCGTTGAATGCACCTATCAGAGCATCCTCTGCTTCATTGCCATTCTCGGCTCAAAATCTTTTCTCCAAACTCACACCCCCTGCCCAACCTATTTTCTGAGATTCTTTTCTTCTAATTTATTTCACGAAAAATTATAATGATTTCACCCAATTCTTTTACTCCACGGAGGCTTCATAAGACAAAAAAGCTTGTATTAACATTTATTTTCGTTATCAGTATATCCAACTATGGTGCAAAACCACGTTCTGCTCACATCATTAACATATATCATGGCTTATATACCAAAGTCAGACTACAATACGACAATCAACAAATGCTGCTAATTTGTACAGTAACTCTGTAATTTTTAAAGAATATATTAAAAATTAATCCATAAAACTTTATTACATGCTTAAGCAGTCTTCCTCGTGATTAATTATTAGAAGTCCTGACCACATGTACTGTATTCATCCATAAACTAATAAACAATGTTTTCTTAATAACACTCGAATCAACACAACACAAATTAGTAACTACAGGAACAAGCAGTAACCGACAAGAATAATGGAAATACAAGATAAACATCTTACAAAATATTAACAAGCTAGACGTACTTGAGGTATTATCTACTGGGCAGTACCAGTGAAATTTGAGCATATGCACAACTGTTTTGAAACACTTGCGCTTAACGACCCATTATTACTTTATTACTAAATGTAACAAGCCCAAATCTTTATCGCTATGACTTGCAAAAATCTCACATTACACTTAATGACGAACATAGCCCGCAAAATCTATATACAGACTAATAGTGCTACAAGTAATGATATCAACTTATAAACTGGTACTTTATTCTATATAAACTTGAACTGCTTTTCATTTACTTCAATCTTTAATGGTTACAATTCACATGAATTAAAAAACCTACACTCATCAAACACCAAGAGTCTATGAATAATGAAATGAAGATATAACGTGAAGGAAACTCAGCAGTTTACCACTATATACAACAATCAAAACAATTTTGAATACTTTTTCACCATTTAATATATAAGTCAATTCAGTTTAATTAGAGTCGATATCGTATTTCATAATTTGAAAGAGCTAAAATAGCTGAGTGAATACAAAAAAATTATGTTTTGATATCAGAAAAGCAAGAATTAGCGTTAAGAAGCAAAGAGACAAGAACGCAATTTAAGTGATAAAAATAGTTCATTATTTTGAGTGCTTGAATCTTCCTACACTGCATTGAGTTTCCACGTTAAACTCAAACAAAAAAAATAATAGTCAAAAAATTACGTGGAAAGAAGTGGAATGATTTTCTTAATTCAAAGTACTACTCAATGAAAACAAGCTGTGAGTAGATATAGTTGAAAAGTGATTATTACAAAACGATGAAAGTAAACAATTAAAAAAAATGGAATAAAAGTCCAAATCCCCTAAAAAAAGTTAAGGTCACATTTTCCCACGTTATTCAGAGTTGGTGCCACTGTTTTCCAAACAGTTTCAGATACTTCGTCAACAGACAGTGAGGCATCTATAATCTAAAAATAAAATTGAGCATCTGGAAAACATGTAAAAGTAATAACTTGTACTTTTGCAGAATTATTTCAGATTAATCAAAGGCAAATCTATTTTACGAAAATTTTACATCAAATGATATTATAATTAGCACAACTTACTTGCCAAAGATCCTCATCCTCAGCAGCTAACTTTACCATGACATTATTCACTTTTTTCTGAAATTCATTAAAATCGAAACGTTCATGACCAAATCCATCTCTTTTTTGCGCTTCCTCGAGTGGGAGATTTAAATATATAACACAATCCGGCCTTAGTTCACCAATATCTGCCATTTTTGCCCATTCCATGGTTACACTTTCATCTTCTTAACCTCACTTTTATAAAAATAGTAAATTAGAGCCTGATTTTTTCTTTGTACCAAATTAAAAAAAAAACTTTTAACCAAGTTGAACTTTAACAATAAATCAATGAAAACTATTTGAAGAAAAATAAAACGCACCTTTCGCAAGCGTATAAGCAATACCAGAATAAATGTAACGATCAACAACTAAATGTATCCCTTGTAAAAGTTTCTCCTTCATTAAAGGCATAAGTGCTTGCCGATTAGCAGCGAATATTAGGTGGGCTTCTCTAGGTTGCATTTCAAGTTTTTTCTTCAAATAACAGTCGATGAATTTACCTAAGTCACTCAAGCGATCTGAAATTGAGTCCTTTCAGAAAAAAAAATAATTGAATCATTTCAATACACATTTCGTCCCATTAAACACAGTTAACCTGCCGTACAGCTAAAACTACTTATTTCCCTTTCCTTCCGTGATAAATTAAATCCTGAAAAAACGAATTTCACTTTGTGTTAAAACAATGCTGCATAATAAAACCATAATTCCCAGGCCAAATTAACCTGGAAATGATATCAGTTCAGCATGTGCTCCTGTACCACAGATACGTTCCACTAACTTTTTCGCTTGCAAGCTTTTTCCTGCTCTATCGCACCCTTCAAATACAATCAATGCACCACGCAGTTTCGATACCATCGGTGTTGCACACTACAATACCTCAGTATCCCAAAAATTCTCACGAGATAGACCATCAGGAGTCCAGTACTGCTACAGATCACTATTTAAAATACCAATAGAAAAATGGACTGTAAATAAGTCATATGTTAAAATCTTTATATTCAATTTTCTATTGTTTCTTGACTCAAACTATGCCGTCAACATTCATACAGTGGAAATTACAGTAAGTTATAGAACACTGACAGACAGTAAATATACTGAAATTACATCTCTCTGATCTAAAATCCAGAGAACAATGAGCTAATAACTGGTTAGAACATACTTGCAAGACATGAGTTTAGAACTTGAAGGACAAGTCCAAATACTATCATTAACAGTTACAATCACATTTCAAAAACGTTAACTTACGCTTCGCCTAAGAATATGTCTAAAAAGCACAACCCCAAGAATTGCCAGCAACATAAAGTTCCAGCCATTTCATATCGAGACATAAATATAAAGGAATGAACCATTTTAGTCCAACCACATTTTTTCGCCGTTAGAAGGTAGAGAGAAGAATAACGTTTATTGTGATAAATAACAGAAATTTAATGGCATGCATTTAAGCAAAATTTGTGTACAACTAATGCCACAAATAAAATAAAAGGCAAGGTCCTATGTAAAAGTCGTTATACGACCATAAATATCTCTAGCTGATCACCAATGGTATCTAGCGACAGATACTGGAATTTCGTCGTAGAACAGTACTACTCCAGCAAGATATAAAAGAAGGACGAAACGCATGAAAAATCGTGGCTGAAAAGAACGATATCTTTTTTTTTTTGCACAAACACGGATAACTGACCCTGTAATTCCAATATTTTTCAAATATCACTATCCTTTTCAAATCAAATGATATCTCCTAAATTGTAGATATGAAGCCTATATAGTTTCTCATTCAGTTTTGGATATTTCTACCCAATAAATGCATGAAACTCCAGAGACTGCAAATGACAACTGATCAACAAGTTAAAGATCCTTCCACCTGTAACGCTAACTTTTGAGCAGTCAAATTTAACTTAAACTGCATAATGTGAAGTTTTAATAAGTATGAAACTACATACTGTCCAGTATCAGATACAAGTGATTGGTGGAAAACTAACCACATTAATCAAATAATGATCGAAATAGTAATGATCGAATCTATAAAACGTTTTAACGACAGAATTGGCAATACCACCAATTGATTTATCACGACGAGAAAACCAAGAGGTCAAGTCACACAATTTCACGTCCATTAATTTCGTGTCTCCTTCAAAGTAAAATAAGGTAAGACAACATCGGAAATACGTCTAGCTTACCCAGATAGAAACTTGCAAATCTAATTCACATTTTACGTTGTATAACCCAGAGGGAAGATTACTTAGTAGCAAAATACTTCAAGTAATCATACTTTTGGTTCCATAATATCTCCAAGGACAATACGGGCCATGAACTCTAGGATTATAACATTTGTCTTGCACACCAATTTCGAGACGATTAATTACCCGATTGTATAAATACACTCCAACGCGCTCCAGCAAACGACAGTACGGTCGATAAATATATACATCCCAAAATAAGTCATTATGGATCTTTGTACCTGCTGGCAGCGGCGGTATGAATGGTCGAAAATATTTCGTAACGGGAATTTTTGTTGCCATTCGTGACCTGAGAGGAAAACAAAATCCTAATAATTTTTTGCTATTTACAAAAGAAGCAACCACTACCTACGATTAAGAATTTACGGAACCACATCTGCAGGAATAAATCTATGTTCCATGAATTTCCCTCTAAACATTTCTGCCACTACTCTTATAAGGATATGAATCACTACTAGCATCTCAGTCCCTAATATTATAACAGATTACAAAACACAATCCATAACATATCTCTTCAAGGTATCACATTCAGATCATTTCAAACCTACATGAAAAATTAAAAACCCCATCATGTACGAACTCTTCCAGGAAACAGCGAAACCGCTTAACCACTAACCGACTGCAAAAATTTATTTTTCGGAATAGCGAAAAATGTAAACAGCAAGTTTTGCGCTATGGGACACATGTGGCAGTTGCAGCGCCAAAATAACAGGAATTTATCAATAAAACAAGATTATGCTATTCAACATTACAAACTGCAATCAACAAGGAACATGGAACAAAGACATATATATGATGTAGGAAGACGTGTCATTACCATACTTTAAAATTAGCGCATACGTTAAATTCAAAACTTAGATAACATGAAAGAAATGGTTATAATGGTTAGTGAATATCATTTAAACTCTGAACAAAATTTAGGCCTTAAAATTTCAGGACTGATTTCAGAAAAATGACGACGACTATCCACGAAGAATCTCCAGGGTTTCATTCATTGCATTAAGCCAAGCATTACAAAGCTTCTTCGTATCCGCTGCTAACAGTACACTAAAAACATGCTTAGTCAGACAGCTTTGTTTCATATTATTTGACAGGTTTCGTAGATGACCAATAATACTATGGAAAGTTGCCAAATAATCACACCTTAGAAAAATTTAACGGGTAGAGTGATTTAATCTACTAACCGTTTTTTTTCAATAAGAGATGGTGATGTTGGAACCAAGAGATCAACAGTAAAAGCATTCGGACGCGAACAGATTTCATGAGAAGCGCGGTTAATTTTTTTGTCGATACACTTCGAAAGGTCCATGCAAGCCAGTGCTGGCTAAAATATCAGTTATGATGCAAAAATACTCTAAATCTCTATATTACTCCACTACATTAATAAAATGATCAACGAAAACCTTTTCGCATGCTTCATCATTGGGATACTTCCAGAAATGGACAATTCCACGTCTCAAAACAGCCCAGTACCTAGCCCAAGAGCCTAATCCTGATATCACTTGATACATAGTCTAAATTTTTTAAAATAAACCTTCATTCTTCTATTAAACCATAAATTATATCTAGTTTACACTAAAAGAAAACCAGTTAAATTAAATTCTGCCTTACAAACGAAAAGTTACGAATCTCGAAGCTTACCAAGAACCCTCGAAAATCGGTTTCAATAACTGGAGGCAGTTTTGTGCAGCGAGAGTCGATTTCAATAGTTCCTTCTAAAGGATAAACTGCCCCATCCAGATAAAATTTTTGTATACCAACTGTGTCACGATTTAGACAGATGTGACCGCAACATGTAAATTCTGAACAGCCTACTACAGATTCATTGCCGTATGCCTTTTTAGCTAAAAATTGACATGAGCTTCATAGGGACATTTTTGTCGAGTTTCTCATCTATGGAATGAAGCGCATTTTTCATTAATAGGACCTTATCAACAAACAAAATAAACGGATCTCCAGCTGGTATATGCCAACAAGAGATTTTTTGCAATCAGATACTTTTCATTACTTTTTCCCTGATAAGTTGAGTGCAAACTAACCAGTCAGCTCTAATTTCGCTCGGATACCTCAATAATTTGCGTTTAAAAATAAGAGATTAATTATTTCACATTATGCTGTTTTAAAACATTGATACTCAGAATTCTGTCGACCAAATAACATTTATAGCTCAGCTTCAGAGCAATAGAAATCTTTTCTTTTAAAATAAAATGAAGCTTAGAAATTATCCTGAAAAATCAACCTAGTAGGGACTTTGCTTTGTTTTTCAACATATTGCAAGAGTATTCATCTGAACGACGATCTTCACTCACTTTCTAAAAATGTAATTAGAAAATTGAAAATTATGTACGCGATTATTTCTTACGTCATATAACAAATCACTAGCCAGATTTTCGTATTCTGGAACTATAGGAATGGTCAACTTATTCTTAACAATACAAATGATGTCAAACGAAATAGCTATACTAAGTAAAACCTGCACATCAACAATTAGCCAATGTTGAGAGTTTTTGGAAATTTTGAGTTGTATGCAACTATATTCAGTTTTTCAGTGTAAAAAATACAAATTAATCATGCACACTGCACAACTGTGAAACATGGCAGTCAAACATTACCAAAGCATAAATTTCCAGCATTACTGTGAAATCGACTGGTAAGTTTTTAAAACGAATTTGATCGGAGAAGTGAACTTTGCTAACACGCAACGCTCGGGAATCCATCAAAGAAACTGTTTGTGTGGCCTCCACCTGCTCATTAGCTTTCAGCAAAACAACGAAAGCATATGAAACATCTAAAAACCGAGCACTCTCCAGTATTTTAATAGCCAAAACTCAAAACTGATAAAGGCTTAAATTGTCGAATCACTTATTGAAACGTTTAAATAATAATAAACATTTCAGAAACGGACATAAAACTTTTGGAGGAAAACTAAGAAAATTAGTGAAAAGGATAGCACTATACTATAGATTAAATGATGAAATTATTAGAATACAGACATAAAGTTTCAGAATAACAATGCTATTCTTACTTTCATCAGTGTTACGGACACAAAAGTTCCGATTGAGATAGACATTAATAGAAGTAAGGTCAATAGCACCACGCATATATTTCGAGAGACGAGGAATAGGTCGTTTGATTAGCTGACACATTTTCAATCGTTCCATTTGGTTCTGTAGTGCTAAAAGTCTTTCGCGTGCCAACAATAAACTACGCTGTGCGCTAAGCTGAAAGTATATATTCAACACAAATTTTGTAACATATAATCTGCTTACAAAATATTTAGAGAACATAAACTGTAAATTCATCTATTTTCTGGTAAAAAACAATGCAGGATCTAACATAGCTCAAATAATCACAGACTTCCAACACTAACATGCTTTACCTCAACAAGGGTGCCGTTGAAACTATTGGTTTTCTTACAGTGTGCAAGAGCCACTGAAGCTTGAGCAATTTGGTCTTCCTGGACCAACATAACATGCCTCAGCGTCTGTAACATATAACTAATTGAACCAAAAATAGGATAGGATTACTAAAGAGTAATAGTGAAAATCCACGAGGAAATTACGAATATTTTTATTAATAATTAAAATGAAATTTACGTTTTCCAGTTCAAATTTACAATAAATACACACAAAACCTTAAAGTCCATTTCTGATTGCTGCGTCTCAGCACCATCCTTCGTTGTCCAAGATGATATTGAGGAAATTTCACTGTGATTAAGAGTCTCGCTGACTGAAGTAAGCACACGATTGCCTATTACTGGTGAACCATCAAGTGGAGTCGAAGTAGCTACCGGTTTTAAGGTGAAGGTTCGATTTAAGGATTTTGAACTTTCTATCTGTAAATGATTTTTGCTTTAGTAATTAATTCATGCATTTTCAAAACCTCAAAATTACACAATCCCACCATATGAAGCAGAGAGAAAAGTAGAAATTCATTTATAAACTAACTGCCAATTCGTTGCTTTTATAAACTGCCAATCGTTCGCCAGCACAAGGTGGCTGCGAATACGCAGCAGGAGAAAAACGAATTGGAATACTAGAAGTTGGAGAACTGTGGTATTTTTTTTGCAAATCACGGTACAGGGAAAGCTAAAATGAATTTATTCCAGTAGCAGCTAAAAAGCAATATAGCGGAAGGCCACAAATTTTTATGAAAAAGTTATATAGCGAAGGTTTCAAATTATATGATAAGTGAAAAAGTACTAACTGAATAATTTGCTCTTTCAGGCGAGGATGCGGTCTTCTCTAAAGACTCTTGCGAGCTGTGCATACCAGCAGTAGTCACAGATTCTGTCTAAAGCATTGAATAAATAATAAAAAGTAAATATAAATAAATGATTA